GGAAGTTTTCAAGTTCCAAAGACAACCAGAGGGGCAGTCAGGGGAGAGAAAAAGCTCACTGCGTGCCACACTCTCCACTGGATAAGCTCTTTACAGGCATTCCCTCATTTTAGGATCAAATAACCTTCAAGTAAGGCCCATTATTTCTGCAGATAAGGAAAGGTAGGGTCGAGATGTGTGAAGACTTGCCCAAAACCCCCACCCAGGAAGTGCTGAAGCAAGGCCTCGAACCCCAGTCCATGTCGAGGTGCACTCCGATTTGTTCCCCATGATATGTGGCCCCCATGGGTGTGGTATGGGAAATAGGAGCGGTCAGGTGGCCACAGATCTCTCCACCACCAACCTCTCTCCATCTCCTCTGCTAAGTCTACTAAATATGGAGGGAAAGACTGAGATCATTTTATTTACTTCTGCTACTCTCCTTATTTATTTATTATGTGTTTTCTTATTTATTTTATTTTTTGTATTTAGGACAGGATGTACAGGGTATACAAGGTCTCAGTGCATAGATCGGATTCATATTGATCCTCCTGTTTACAGCCTCCCAAGTGCTGGGATTACAGGCATGCACCACCACATCCAGTCTCAAATAGTAGGCCCCAGGGATCGAACTCCCAGCCCCTGCATTTGCCTAAACAGGTGCTTATATCTGCTGAGCTATTTGACTGGTCCATTTATTATGTATTTGGTACATGGTCTTACTACATAGCTCAGACTAGTAGTGATCCTCCTGTTTCAGCCTCCCCAGTTACAGGAGTGCGCCACCACACCCAGACTCGTGGCTAGCTCAGTATGCCTGGGGACAGCACTTAGTGCCAGGAATCAAATCTCAGTCCCTACACTTGCCTAAGCAGGCACTTAGTCCACTGACCTATCTTGCCAGCCCTTACACTCCTAATTTACTTTTACTAGCTTTGCAAATTCCTACTGGCTCTTTACATGAACTAAATATATACAGTGATACCTCGGCCCATGAACTCAATTATCTCTATGATTCTGGTCACAAACCAAACTAGAGGAGCAGGCTGGGGATAGGGTTCAGTGGCACAAGCACCTGTCTGGCAACCCCAAGTTCCTGAGTTTGAGTCCCAGTACCAATAAAAATCTCTCAAAACATCTGAGCCAGAGGAAAACCAAATCAAAATTTTCCCCTAAAGTCAACACTGAAACTAACCAGTGTCTTTTGAGTTCATTCTCATCAGGTGGAACCTCCAAATGATATAGGGAAATTAAACTCCTGACTTGACCTGGATGAGTCCGTGTTCTCTAAAACCGAAGAAAGAATTTTAGGAACAAATGGAGGTTGAGCGTAAAACTTTATTGGAAAGGAAAGCTTCTGTTGGAGAGCAACAGAAGGGGGGCCTGAGCGGGTTGCCTCGGAAGCTGTCTCTTTCAGGTTACTTTTATGGGGCAAAACCATGTAGGGGCTAAGGTAGAGACAAAGGGGTCTCTCTTAGGCGGATACAGGGTGGGACAAAACTATGGTCAACCAATGGGATTTCAAGCACCATTGCTCAGGTAAAGTTGATTAGGCTAAGGACCAAATGGGGTAGCGAATCACATAGCAAGTGGTTCAATGTAAAACGGGACCTTATCTGGTGGCCTTCAGACAATGATTCTTCTCGACTAATGAGCAATCCTGGTTGCCCGCCTTTAGGGAGGTTAGCATTTGCTTGATCTTTAGGTCTGACTCACAGCAGGAGCATTCGTCCCTCCCACAGTTGCAGGGTGTTTGGTCTTTATTATCTCCTTTGAGGGTCTGACTCTGCCTGACTGCCTATAATATTTTTATCTAACTCAGGCTGCCTGTAACAATCTGACTTGCATTACAACCAAAACCATGGAAAGAATTAAGTTTGTGAACCAAGGCACCACTGTAGTTGAATTAAATTTAATAAAGATAAGTTGTTGAGGATTCATAATTTGCTTCTGAGGGGAAAGACTCTTTCCTCTACTGGGCTTATATGTACATTTTGATGTCTTCAGGATCTGGTTTGTAAGACCCAACAGCTCTCATCTAGGGTGAGATGATCAATTGTAATAAGTGGCCCAGGGCTTTGCGTATAGAGTAAGAGTGTTAATAGTTTATCTCTTTCTCTTACGGTGCTATTTAAAAAAATGTGTGGCCTTATTATTTATACATTTGATTTTATTCAAGACTGACTAAAAGAATTTTAGAATCCTATTTTTAATTGCCCCTGAATGACCAACAATCTTAGTTTCAAATCCAAACTTCCCCCAGGGGGAATTATTGCTGGGCATAGCTTTTACATGTGGTCATCACAGGACTGAGGGAACCACTGCGAGAAGAAGGACCTTGAAATGACAGTGACCCTGAGTGTGTGAGGAGCAGAGAGGAGACAGCAAGAGAAGCCAGGGAGGCAATAGGAGTCAGGGTTGAGGGGGAGATCCCTTGGAGTTGGCCCACATGGTGGGGACTTTGCTCTTACTCTGAAGGACACTGGAAAGGCTAGAGGCTTCTGCAGGCAGGTCTGTCCTGCCTGTAGGTCCCTCAGGAGTGGAGTTTCAGATGGCTTGCTATAGTTTAGATCTGGGGTGGCCCCCAAGCCTCATGTGTGTGGAAGGTGACTGGATCAGCGGGTGCTGTACTGACTGGATAACTCCACTGATGATTTTGTCACTAACCTGCTGTTAGGAGCTGGAGCTGCCTGGAGGAGGTGGGTTGCTATGGGTGTGATGTGGAAGGGTCTCCCCTCACTCCCTCCCTCTGGTGTACTCCCTGCTTTACTCCCTGCTTCTTGGCTGTCGTGATGGGGGCAGCTCTCCTCCTGGGTACCTCTCTGTACCTGCCGTGTTTTGCCCTGAAGTCAGCCCACTGGGCACTGTCACAAACCTCTCCTCCCTTAGCTTCAGGTGTCAGGTATTACATCCCAGCACTGAGATCGTGGCTAAGACCCAACGGGAAAGAACTGAGGGTCCTCACTCTGTGCCAGGGTGGCCCTGGAAGTGGTAAGATGGGCCAGGATCTGATGATGGAAGGGGTGAGGGCATGTGGCAAAGGGAAGGGTGAAGAAAGATGGTTAGGTGTTTACTTGAGCCTCTGCACATTGGCGGGCGTCGGGAGGACCAAGACGGGAGCTACAAAGTTGATGCTCTAGAAGTAGACAGCAGAACCAGTTTCCAGAAGCTGGGAAAGGGAAGAGGGAGGGGCAGAGAATGGGTAATGGGTACCAAAATATAAGTTCCAGGGCTCTGTGGCATAGTGGGGTGGCTGTGGTTAATAGCAATTTCCTGCATATTTCAAATTGCTGGAAGAGTTTGAATGTTCTAGATACAATGAAATGAGAAATGTTTGAGGCGATGGAAAGGCTGATTACCTGATTTGATCATGCTACGCGGTATGCAAGTGTTGAAATATCTATCCCACTCTACCCCATCAGCATATATAATTAGTATGTGTTAAAGAGTCTGATAAGGAAAGTAAACTTGAGCTGTAGATGTTCACATAAAAGAATGGCTTTCTTGAAATCTTGAAAGAAGAAAGAAAGACCAAGGAAGGGGAGAGAGAGACACAGACACAGAGAGAGACAGAGACAGAGACAGGGAGACAGAAGAATTACATTGGGCCATATGAGGTCTGCAGCGCCCATTAGATATGCAATAGGAGATGGTACGTAGACCAGCAGCGAGTAAATCTGGAATGTGGGGAAGTCCGGGTGGAGGTGAACAGCAAGAGTCACCAGTACAGATGATATTCAAAGCCTGCAGATTGCTCCCCGAAAGACTAAAGGCTTCCAGGGGGAGAAAAATCAATCTGTTGAAAAGGAAACTTGAATACTACAAAGCTGGAGCTTCTCAAGAAATTAGTGTTTTCATCCCATGCAGAGAATAAGTGGAGCCCTGGGAATGTCGCCCCACTGGAATCATAGCCTGGAAGCCGAGATTGCATCAGGACTCTGAGGCAGTGCAAACCACCAGGCCCGGCTAACCCAGAATCCCAGACATGGCCTTCAGAACCCTGGCTGGCTCACAAGCCTCCGCCGCGTCTTTCCAGTACCCAGCTGGTCATGAACAGCATCAAATTCCCCCATGAGGTTGACACTGGATTTAACCATCAGATTTGATTCGGTTCGTGATCAGTTTGGTTTCTGACCAGAACTATGGAAAAAATTTCACGAACAGAGTTCCACAGCTCTGTTCTGCACATTTCTTTCTGTCCTTGTTTTAACGTGGAGTAGGGTAATACAACTGCAGTTCTGGAGTTTGCTTTTCTCTTCTTCTTCAGTACTAGAGATGGAGCCCAAGGCCTTGGGCATGCTAGGCAGGCACTTTACCACTGAGCTACACCCCTATCCCCCCAGGACCTCTGAACTGAGCTATACCCCCAGCCATTTATTTATTTATTTATTTATTTATTTATTTATTTATTTATTTATCTCAGGGTGCTGAGATCACAGGTGTGTGCCACCACACCGGATTCCCTGCCCTTTTTATTTCTGCTTTTTAATTTTAACACAGACTTGCTGTGTCACCCAAGCTGACCTCAAGTTTTCAATCTCCCTGGCTCACCCACCAGAGTAGCTGGGATTTTTGGTGTGAGCCATCACACCCAAGTTGGAGCTCCTTTTTTTTTTTTTAAACATACTTGATTGAAAATAGTGTCTGAAAAAAAAAGAAAAAAAGTAGTGTCTGCAGCAGGGAGCCGCGTGCACCCC